GAGAGAGAGAGAGAGAGAGAGAGAGAGAGAGAGAGAGAGAGAGAGAGAGAGAGAGAGAGTAAATTAATAGACCAGACCAGATGAATTTTCTTTCTGACAATGAAGAAACAGCCTTACCTTGACACACTGCACTGAGCAAAGCCCCGGCAAGGCGACCAAGATTTAAAAGGGAAGCAACCCAGGACGCTTCGGTATCTGTCAGTCTCAAAGGCATGTTCGCTTCCGTTGATGTCAGTTGAGCCAAGTACGGCGATACCCAACCATTCGCGAGACCACTTCCGATAACAGCTAAGCTGACTGTCACAAACGGCCATGAAACAGTTGTGTCAACGGATGCGAGAGTAATTTCATTAGCTCATTCATAGACATAGCTTTACAAGCACGTTGATGTAGGGGATGCGGCGCATTTTGATGTATCAGAGATTGTATTAGAGAGTCTTGATCAAGTTTAATGTTAAGCACACGTCGTGTTCGTGAACTTTCAGAAAACGTGATGCAACTATTATCGTTTTCTAGATATCAAGATGCTCAAGTTCAAGCTTTGATTCGAAATATTGTTCGCGTATGAGAATTTCTTTAATTTAGAAATGGAATAATATTTAATTGTATACTTTAGTTTAACTATACTCACGTGTACAAGCAGCTAGCCATTGCGGCCAGATCGTGATGCTTTTATCTGTATCTTTTTTGGGGTTTTCCGCAGACATCTTGACTTTGGATGCCAGGCAAGATGTGCAGGATGCGAGGTGCCTGCCTTGCCAGGTCGGATGAAGTTATCCGAACTGACTCATATTCGGAAGATTTGCATTCGGATAAGATCGTTGATGTATTTATGCCCCATGTGTAAGAGTTTGATCATTATGTATGCCGCATGTGTTTGTCTTTTGAGCGTGGCGCATAAAAAATCGTTATCTTGGAAATTTCTGTGGTTACATTTTTCTTATCTTCGACTATACTTTTCTGCTTATAATCAGAACATGGTATGAAATTTCTGAAAAACATCAGACCACGTAAACATTCATTAGCCGTGATTGACAGTTTTACACCGTTATCGCGAAATCACGTCACAAATAGCTATTAACAATATTAAGAACTACTGTTGCGAAATTTATTGCAGCCACGTGGAAGATTGACGCATAAATGTGGGGTTGTCGTGGATATAATATATAATGTAAGAACATAACAAAATATATGTATTTATGAATATTACGAGACAGCTTACAAATTTTAACCGTTGTGCAGAGTGTTATGTGAAAGCTTTCCATACTTGGTTGACTTTTATACAGAATAATTGCAACTTTTTATAAAAGAAATATTCTTGACATTCCCCGAGAAAACTAAATTATAATTCATTTTATATACTTATTAAATATAATTGATTTTAAATGTAGGGACACCTCGGCGAAGAATCTACCATTTGGATACATTACAAAAAGGAAATATATTCCAACTAAGGGTACAAAAGTTCCAGTGACGCGTATTTCGAGGCTGGATGGTAATTATCACCTTTCTTTCTTTCTTTCTTTGTCTCGATACTTTCGGACGCTACCCCACCTTCGCTCTCTATACGCATGCACTTCACTCATTGCATAAATTAAATGAAAATTGCGATTCGATATTGTTTTACTGCAAATTCAATGTATACGTAAATAATATCAATAGGTCGTAGTTTAATTCGATAATTAATAATATTTAAGTTGCTTTAGCTTGATTATTTTAACGGATTTTATTTATTTCAGAATAAAGATCGTTCAAAATGAAGAAGGAGCAGAGTCTGTTAAGCGACACAAGCATTCCGGACCCTTTGACTCTTTTTGCGAGAAAAATCGGACAGAGAATTTGTATTCACGGAAACAAAACGTAAGGTTGACTCTATTTAGACAATTTTATCGTAAATGGGTTAATTTTTAAATATTTGGTATATTTTATTTTTTACTTTCATTCTATCGTAAACGGTATAAATTAATATATATTATGTATTATATCGTTGACAGTAAAGTAACTGCAAGAGAATTGTTGAGGACACTGATGCCAAATCATAATCAATTAGGTTGTTTACCATTAATTACAACCTCAGAAAGATGTAGTGAAATTAACGATAAAATTAAGAAAATCTCCGAAGATTGCAACAACGAAGATATAGAAGTTGACAAATCTCTTAAAAAGGTTTTCCGTAAGTGGAATAATATATTTTAAAGTTAGTCATTGTTGGTACATCATGAAATACCTGTCGAAATAGTAACAGTGAACAACATTTTGATACATCGTAAAAGACAAGAGCGAAGAAAAGGTGACAGAAGAAGAAAGCGAAACGTACTCTTGTACAAGTTTAATAGATGAATCAGAATTGTCTTTCGACGGTAAATGGTTAAGAAAGTTTTTTAAAGTACCATTAAAGATGGCAATCAAGGAAATTGTATCAAAGAAGCCTTATGATCCCGTTCATTATCTTGGATTTTGGTTATTGAATTATAGAAGATGCGAAGAGCGTAGGCACTGGCAATTGGAAAGAGATAACGAGCTAAATTATCTTCGATCTTTAGTCGAAGAACCAGTACGTGTTATCACTAAAGTTTCATATTTTATTACCTTCTCTTACTACTATCTATTTATAGATTGTCATATTTCTCAACGAACATAAAAGTAGCGTTAATGAAATTACGATATGCATTATGTCGTAGAGATATCTTATTATTTTCTTCTTTCCGACATACTATAGAATCATCTTGCACAAACAAAAACTTTTCCGCTTTTGGGCAAGAAAAAGGTAGTTTAAAATAATGTTTCAGATATCTAAGAAGAAAGAAGTTTCGGTAGACATAGGAGAGGAAGAAGAAGAGGGAATGCGCGACTGGAATTTTAAACATTACGAGACTATGCATATATCGAAGTAAATTTTCAATAAAGAGGTCTTTTTGTTATTTTTACCATTTATGAAACAATAATATCGTCATATTTGTATACTTGTTTATTTAATTGATTTACAGGCAAATATAAAGGTAAATTTAATTAAATTTGTACCATGGATAAGGAAAGTACAACGTGAGTATTAAATAACATGATTTTAATTTTAATTAGAAGAAAAATAATAAATATTTCGAATTATATTTAAATAAAAATTTGCAAAATTTTGTATCGTATTTCGCAAGATATTATCGAAAATCAAATTTTTATATATTTTACGATATTTCTTAATTTTATCGCAAAATATGTAGGTTAATTTTTAATTTTGTATTAACAGATCACTGTCTGACCATACGATAGTTTTCACGCCTAAGAATCGACGGAACAGTCCGTTTAAACTTCGATGTATCGTTCCCAGGTGTCTCGATATTCGACGAGACCGTTCAGGAAGCCGCGTTCGTACGGTCTCGTGCATTTCCGTTGTCGGGTCGCGGTTCCCATGCGAAGTTGCGTTCAGTCCGAATCGCGCAGCCGCCCCTGTAGTTTCGTGTGCGGTTAATCGAAAACGCACGAAATCGCGAGTTTGGACGGAGAGAAAATATCTCGATCTTGCGCGATCGGTGTCGTCCTAATTACGATGAGAGTCGGCTAACAGGAGGATGACCTTGGCATGCTACGATGCAAACGGTGCAGCGAAACACGCGTCGTCGTGTGCAATTCGATTGTTATTGACGCGAGGGTTGGTTGCGCGGCCATGCCAGTCGTTGGGTCAACGGCTTAGTCGGCAGATGGCGCGGCGTTCGTTTTGGTCCACCCTGCCTGCGCTGGAATGCCTTCAACGAGGAGCTTGTCGACGCTGCCGTCTTTCGTGGAACTTTTTTCCACGCCACGATCAGGTGACTGGGCCAAAGCCCTTTTTAGACCCTACGAGCCGTTCCCTAGCCACTAAGGAACATTCGCGAAGGGACGTGTGATCGGGGAAACGGATACGAGAACGCGCCAGCCGGGTGATCCACTTTACGCGTACGGAGGTGCTGTGTTGTGTTGTGCACCAGAAGGCGGTTCCAGTGCACTCTACTCGATCGCATCTGACCATTCTTCCGTTTGATAGTGTGATTCCGTTCAAGATCCTGCGTTACTGGCTCGTATTAAGAAGCTGTGCCGCGATCGACGATTATTAGTGGAGAGAAGAAGACGAGGACGCGGCGGGCGACCGAGTTAAAGCGGAACACGGGAGTGTCGTCCACCATTTTGGCTGCGCGAGGTTATTCGATGTGTGCACCATTCTCATCGTGCGTTCGCTGTTTTCGTGCTTCGCATCGCGGAGGATCGTTCACGATGTGCACAGAGATATCGTTCGAGTCGAGAGACGATCGGAAATATCACAGGGGAAGGTAATGAGGTAAGATGATCCCATAAAAGTGACGCTAAATGGAGCAAGGCGAGGGCTGTTTTCCTCGTCGCAATCTCGATGCTGTCAGCTGGTCGTCTTCGAGTGGCAGTGTCAGAAATTGACTGTGAACGTGGAGTCTGACGACCTGGCCATCGGCTCGAGCCGCGGGGAACTCGAAATTCTGGAAATTCGTGGATCTTGCAAGTAAACCGCCGCGGAATAGAACGGTGTCGCACGAAAGTGGGTTACTATAAGTGCCGTCCCTGCTGTTGGTAAAAAGCGACGTTCACACGGATTCTGTGCTACGTCGCTCGCATTTATTCTCGGTCCTTTGCAATTTCTCGTGGACATCGACGAATCTGCGAGCCTAGTGCAGCTGATCGGGAGCGACGTGTCCGAGGGGAGCAGGCTGTGTGGAGCATCTCGAGTGCCATTAACCTCGTTTCGTGGCCACCTCGCGGCGAACCACTTTCGTTCCGCGATTTTTCCGTGGACTTACGTTTTCGAGGTCTCGTGCGTTTCAACGCGATGGGAGATGGGCGATGCGATTAACGACGGGCAGCCTACGGAAAGGCGAGTCCCGGTATCGCGGCGTTCGGACACGCTCGGACACGCTCCATAGCCAGTTGTTCGCGTTGAAACGCGGGAAACGATGAAGACATTCGCGTTCCTCGCCGATCATAGGACTGGCCGTGCGTTATCGTAGACAGTAGAGAGGAGAGGCGCGTGCTCGTCCACGATTTTTCGTCATGCTTTTGTAACGACTGAACACATGGGTGCTGGTATTACGTATGGTGAGCTGTTTCGCAGGCGGAAATAAAGAGTGGCGGAGGGAATAGCGAGGGGGAGGGAGGAGAGGATGAACTTATATCGCTGGCGCGGATGAAGCGAAACGACACTATGGAGACCAAGTGACTATACTTTTCTCCACTCCTGCATGGAATCCTCCGGCGTAGTTGTAGATGTTTCGTGCGATTATTCCACCGAAGTGAACTGGTTTGGTGTGCTCGATCAGTGCTGCGAGTGTGTGCCGTTTTTGTCGCCGTTTTTGTCGCCGTTTTGACGAGGATTACGTGTGCTGTGCACGTTACTCCGGCCCATCACAGACATGTGAGTAACCTTATCAGAATATCTTTTTCCCGCTGTCCTGATAACGCTTCCAGTGCCCGATATACGCCGCGAAATATAATTAAGGGAATCACTTAGTCAAACACGTTTATCGCTTGGTAAACACGTAACGTCTTTTGTATGCGAATTAAGTATTCTGCAAAAACCAGTAATATATTTCTTTCCCCTATTCGATTAATACTCGTATGGACGGACACACGATCCCATTTTCTTCATTTTTCAGTCATTTTCCCACGTGATTCCTTACAGTAGCGATACCTGAAATTATTTTCTCATACTTTAATCCTGTACTGAAAATTTTAACGTCGGATGACAATCGTCGCGTGGGT